TCCGAAAGCTTGTGTTTTCAAATAAACCTGTTGGACTACAACTTGGTATCGTATGATTTCTGACCTTGTACACTCCAGTCCAACACCGGCACCTCCACATCATGAGATTGCATGAACTGCAGATGCTTGAGTCAGAGTCACAGTGTGGAGCTGGAGGAACACAGGTCAGGCAGCTTCAAAGGAGCAGGAAAGTCGACATTTTGGGTTTACACTCTTCATCAGGACTGGGGACGGGCAGGGGACTCCCATAGGCATTTTTACTACCCCTCCTCTTACCCATTCTCCTGCCAAAATGCAATCCCTTACTCTCAATACGTCCGCCTCTGACGTATCTGTTCTCAAGAGGAGCGTTCCACTCCTGGACATCCCAGATGTCATCCTATTTCGACCTCCCCTACCTCCATTGATTCATAATGCTCTTAAACGTATCTCTTGCATTTCCCGCACTTCTGGCCTCAAAACTGGCCCCCTAAACAAAATAAGGACAGGATACCTCTGGTCCTCACATACCACCCCACCAATCTCTGCATCCAGCACATCATCCTCCACCACTTCTGCCTCCTACATTCTGACCCCACCACCAAAGAGATATTTCCGTCCTCATCCCTATCTGCCTTTTGCAAGGATGGCTCACTCTGCACTCCTCGACCGGTCCGCACTTCCCACCATCCACACCACACTCAGCACCTTTCCCTGCAACCGCAGGAGGTGCTACGCACGCCCCTACACCTCCATCCAAAGCCCAAGACAAACTTTCCGTATCCGACAGGGGTTCACCGGTACATCCTCCAACCTGGTCTACTGTATCCGTTGCTCCGGATGTGGCCTCCTGTACATCAGTGAGACCAAATGTAGACTTGGTGACAGATTTGCAGAGCACCTGTGCTCCATATGCTATAATCAGCAACGCCTTCCGGTTGCTAACCATTTTATGTCCCCCTCCTACTCCCTTGGTGGCATGTCCATCCTGGGCCTCCTCCATGTCACAATGACACCACACGCAAACTGGAAGAATAACACCTTTATATTCTGCCTCGGGAGCCTACAGCCTGATGGCCTAAACATAGAATTCACTTGTTTCAAAATCATCCCGCCCCCTCCCCTGCGCCTCATCCCACGTCCAAACCTCCCTCTCATCCCCGGCTCTTTGACTTGACACTACGTGTCCATCTCCTTCCCCACCTATCCGCCTCACCCTTCCCACTGACCAATCCTCACTACTCCTACCTATCACCATCCCACTTGCTTTCTCCCTCCCCAGTTCTGATGAAGGGTCTAGGCCCAAAACGTCGACTCTCCTGCTCCTCTGATGCTCCCTGACTTGCTGTGTTCCTCCAGCTCTGCACTGTGTATTGATTTCTTTCTCTGTTCTCTTCACTCGTTCTTATCAATCTTCTTAACACGCAGTATGCTTCTTTCAGTTCCAACGTTAACATTAAGATTAAAACTGTTAACAATGTTTGTTGTTCAGTGTACTGACTATACACACGAGAGCCTAAATACGGACTCTCCAGTACCAACTTCTATATCTCCCCGGATCATGATGCTAACGTGACTGGCTTGAATTCAATGAAGGGTAATAGAGTCTCCTCTCTATACACACTCAAATGTTTTGCTCATAGAGTCACTCATTAGGTGTTGCATCTTGAGGTGCAGATACCTATAGTTTCAGCCTTTTCTTTTTTTTTAGGAACGACTTACTTTATTTTCACAGCATTTAGGCTTTCCTGCTCAGAGGTCGAGTCACTACCACTGCACCACAAGGCCCCTTAAATAATTTTTAATCAATGTATTTGGACATGTTATGAGTCACAGGGACATAAGAATAGGAGTAGGCCAATTGTCCCATCATTTAATGTGATCATGGCCGATTGCACACTTCAATGCCTTTTAATCACCTCATTCCCATAATCCTACCTACAATTGGTAATCAGAAATATGTCAATTTCTACTTTATACATTCTCAAAATCTGAGCTTCCAAAGAGAAATCCTAACGTGCGCTACTGACTTAAAATTTCTCCTTCTCTCAAATCCAAGTAGCATCTCCCTTATTTTTAAATTGTGCCTTCTGGTTCCAGACTCACTAACTAAGAAAAAGATCTTATCTGCATCTACCCTGTCTATCTGTAGGTATTTCACAGGTTTCAATGAGATCATCTCTCGTTGTTTGAAACTCTAGGGAATACAAGCCCAGTTTTCCCAGTCTGTTCTTTGGATGGTCCCGCCATCCTGGAACCAAGTCTGGTGAACCTTTGTTGTGTTTCCTGTATGCCAGTAATGTCTTTCCTGAGATAAGGAGACCAAAACTACACACACAGGATTTCCAATGCAGTCTAACCAAGCTGTTGGACATTTGAGGCAAGACTTCACTTCTTGGCAGGACTTGAATCCTAACCTTTTGGCCTAGAGATAGGGACTTTATCATAGCGGCAAAAAACCCCCTATCCTTATTTATGAGTATAGATCAGTTCCTGGTTGAGGTCTACTATCTGAATATAATTAAATATCCATTTAACACCAAAGATCAATCTATTGTTTCCAAGCCTATGACTGACCTCGTCTCTTCCTCCCTCCATAAGCTTCCAGCACTTATCTCCAAACCTGCTACTCAAGATGCATAAACCCAATTTCCCTGATTGCAATCTATCATTTGGAATGAAGAAAATAAAAATTCTAAAGGACCCTCTATCTGTAGTTAACTAAAGAAGTTGGAAAAAATATCAACTCTAAGGAAAAAGAATAAAATTGCACAGATTTGAGTGGTAGGTCAGGTAACTGGTCAGAATATAAAAGGAAAGTAGAGAATGGCTAGAAGGATAATTAAGAGAAAGAAATTTCAAGTGGGAGTATGAGTAGCTAGAAATGTAAAAAGGGATAGTAAGAGTTTCTGCAGGTATTTTCAAAAAAGGAGAGAGTAGGTAAAGTGAGTGGTCCTCTCAAGAGAAAGAATGGGGAGTTTATAGTATAATAAGGAAATGGTGGAAGAAATGAGCAAATATTTTGTTTCTGTTTTCAGTATAGAGGATACCTGAAACATTCCATAGCTATAAATCAGGAGGTGAAATAGGAAGAGGAGCTTAATGGAATTACAATCATTCAGGAAGTAATTCTGAGCAAACTGATGGAATTGCAAGCTGACAAGGCTCTGGGTTCATACAGACTTCATCCTGGAGTCTTAAGAGTGTACTGATGAAGTAGTGGATGCCTTAATGTTAATATTCCAAAGTTTATTCAATTCTGGAAAGGGTTCATTGGTCTGGAAAGTAGCAAATATAATGACTATTCAAAAAGAGAGACATAAAGCAGGAAACTATAGGCCAGTCATCTCGGCATCTTATCTCCTGGGAAGATGTCATAGCTAGGCACTTAGAAAAGTTCAAGGCAATCGGGAGAATTCACCATGGTTTCATGAGTAGAAAGTTCATGTTTAACTAATTTATTAAACTTAGCTTTTGAAAGAATAATGCGTGCTGTGGATAAAGGAGAGCCTGTAGACAAAAGTCTTCTTGGATTTCCAATTCAGATTTTGCAACATTGACTGCAATAACAATAAAAGCACTTGTCGGGGGTAAGACACATTAGCATATGTACAAGATTGGCTGGCAGAAAACTGATAATATGCATAAATTGGTCTTTGTCTCATTAGGGTCACTGCTGGGGCCTTAAACTTTTTACGATTTACATCAATGACTTGGATGATAGGAGCAAAAGCATGGTAAATTTGCAGACCGTGCAAAGATGAGTAGGAGCATATGTTGTAGATGGATATAGATAAGTTGAGTGAGTGAGCAAAAACCTGGCTGATGGAGTATAATGTCACAAACTGTCTAAGTCCTTAACTTTAGCAGGAAGAATGAAAAAACAGAGCATTAATTAAACACAGAACAACTGCGGAATTCCATGGTGCAGAAGTACCCTCATACATGGGTCGCAGAAACTTTGTATGCAGTTACAGCACATAATCAAGATATTAGGATGTTGTCCCGCTGTTTTTCCCTGCCTATGTACTTGCACATGACATGTCACATGTATAGCTTTTCCAGTTTTGTTGAATAGATATTAATCTGAAACATTGGAGTGAATTTTCATCTTGGCTTGAATTGAGAAATTTCCTGGCTCAAATGCACTTGGTGGGCACAATTACCTCAGTGGTGCAATATTGATGTTGGGGTCATAGAACTGGTCCTGACGTCCAAAGTTGCAGATCAGAGATGGTTTCAGACTGCTAAGGCAAATTATTTAAAGGCCTGTCTCGATCCTCTGTTACTTTGTCCCGGTTATGTTGTTAAATATTAGACTGTCTAGATGTCACCTTCTTGCACCCACAGATTTCTTTCTTGTGCTTGCATATAAAGAAAAACAATTTTTTTTCTTAAAATCTCATGGGCAGGGAATTTAATTCACTTGATAGGTTCTGTATACCTTATTTCCTCTGCATGTGCATTTAAATCACCATAAAGTTGAGTTGAGGCTGCTCGTGAATGAAAATTCGAGATGTTTATCCTTTATTCTGAGTTTAATGGCCTAGCCAATTTGTTGTTCTCATGCACTTCACATTTCGTCCTGCTGTCTTTTATCCTACTGGCTAAAATGTGACTGTCTGGAAATGGGGTATAGGATTTCCAGGTCTGGATTTGGTCTGCCATGTTAAATATTGCAGGTTTACCTCAACTGGGTGCAAATCCAGCCCCTTAACCTTACTCCCCTGTCCACAGTTGCTGCCATGCCTGCTGAATATTTTCAATATTTTCTAATCTCATTTCAAATTTCCAGCAGCCTCAGTATTTTCTTTGGTCCCCTAATTGTGTTTTGTGTCCAGCCTTTTTAAAAGTGCGGTCAGTTTCACACCTAAGGATTTGCTCTTGCCCTGTTGTCTGATTGCACCTAGTTTTGTACTGGACAAAAAGCAAACCATGTGAATGATAATGATAATGGTAAACAATTAAAGGAGAGCAAAGGGATTCTGTCTTAATCAATTTAGATAAAACCAGAACAGCAAACGATCATGACAATATTTGCTCTTTTTCAGTATGACTGGTACACAAAGGTGACTTCTACTGTGGTGGACATTGTGACACGACCAAATGAAAGTAAGTGAAACTTCAGCAGATAGAATTTTAATATTTGTACACCATGTGATGTTTCAAACTCTCCTGTAGATTGTTTGTTTATTTTCAAAATATTATCAGCATTTACATCATATATGCATTCAGAGAGTGCATTCCAGATCCTAGTCACAGCTTATGTGAAAAGGCTTTCCTTATGCTGCCATTGTTTCTTTTGACAATTACCTTCAATCTATGCCTTCTGTTAAATCCTCCACTAATCAGAGCAGCTTTTCTCTACTCTGTACAGACTTGTCATGATTTTGAATATTGCTATTAGATCTCCTTCCTCTCGTTTATTCGCCTCCAAGAACAGTTCTAGCTTCTGTAGTCTATCTACCTCTGTAACTGAAATTCCTCATCATTGGAACAATTCACAACAATCTTTTCTGTATCTTCCTTGATGCTTTCACATCTTTACTAAGTGTGATATCCAGAACTTGATGCAGTGTGCCTTTTGAAACCAGACCAGTGTTTTATACAAGTTTAACAAATCTTGCTTGCTTTTGTACTGGATGCCCCTAATAATTGATCCCAGGATGCCTTTTGCTTTATCAGCTGCCGTCTCAACCTGTTCTGTCACCTTCCATGGTTTATGCACAACTCCTTCTGATCCCATATTTTTTTTCATAATCACATGTTTCATTTATTTATTGTCTATGTTCTTTCTATCAAAATTAGTAAGTATATTGATTGCACTTCACTCATTGGTCCAGTAGTAGAACAGAAGAGTCTGTGCAATTGTTTTTGCAGTTACCCAGCCAATAATATTGCATTCGCACACACATGTGTATATTCAAGAAAAGATTCTCAGCTTTTTGTTTTAATGTTGAGCTTACTAAAACATTTCTTGATAACAAAATACGTTGTGAGCTGTCTCGTAAAATGACTTAATCTCCTCCAATGTAAAATAAAAACACTGTAAAGAAAGATGCTTAATGATCGTATTCGGAAATATGCAGAAACAATGTTTTTATACATTCTTGGGAGAGTCATATATCGTAGCTCAAAAGCTTGTGTTGAGTATTTGAGTTCCATAGGGGGAGTCCATGCTGGAAACTTATCCTGAGCTTCACTCTTCTATCCCCTGCGGATTAGATTTTCTGTTTCAGTTACAGCTCCTTTAGTGTTAAACATACCATCACTTCTTGGATGATGAAATGATAAAAATATGATAAAGCAGCCTATTCCACTGTGTAAACCTTCCGTCCCTCCTCTCACTTTTAAAATTTTGTTGGCAATTGCTATTATCAGTCTATCTATGGGAAGCAATGGCCTGGGACTGTTGATCAGAGACCCAAATAATATTCTGGGGACCAAATTCAATTCCTGCCATGGCAGATGGTGGAATTTGAATTCAATAAAAATCTGTAATTAAGAGTAATGATGACCATGAATCCATTGTTGATTGTTGGAAAAACCCACCTGCTTCACTAAAGTCCTGTGGGGAAGGAAACTGCAATCCTAAACCTGGACTGGTCTACAGGAGATTCCAGACTCTCAATGATGTGGGTGTCCTTCCCAATTGCCCAGAGGGCACTCAAGAGTTAATAAATGCTAGCCTAGCCATCGACACACCTTCATCCCGTGAATTTAAAATATTCTCCAAAATCCTAAAGATTTGTGAAATAGGAAATGCTTAAATTTTGTCCAAGTTTTCAAAAGCGGCACGGTGGCTTGGTGGTTAGCACTGCTGCCCCACAGTGCCAGGGACCCAGGTTCAGTTCCACCGTCTGGCAATTGTCTGTGTGAAGTTTGCACATCCTCCCTGTGTCTGCGTGGGTTTCCTCCGGTTGTCCTGGTTGCCTCCCACAGTCCAGAGATGTGCAGGCTAGGTGGATTGGTTATGCTAAATTGCCGTAGTGTTCAGGGATGTGTAAATTAGGTGGGTTATAGGGGGATGGGTCTGGGTGGGACGCTCTGAGGGTTGGTGTGGACTTGTTGGGCCGAAGGGCCTGTTGCCACACTGTAGGCATTCTTTGATCATGATCAAAAGCGATTTTAAACGTACTGTATGCTTAACATTAAATTTATAATATTGTTAATGGGCAGATGGGATTCAGTTTTAACAATGGCGTTGAAGTTGCAGGGGGTTGACTTTTGGGGGTGGTGTGAGATTTCAAGATTTTACCTAGGAAATTTATGTACTCTGATTTATGATTGGATTTGGTGTAAATGATTTATTTCAGACGGATTTACTGGTATTTACTCTTCAGCACTGGCACAGAGCTGCTGGGCTATGGACAGCCAGCGGGTTATCATCGATACATGTCAGAGAAGCAGAAAGGTAACCCTGTCTAATAATGCTTATGACTAAGTAATAATAAAGGGATAAAAAAACATTTTTTTTTAAATCAAAGTAAAATACAACAGGCAGTTAATTATACTAGATACATTTGGTGTGAATTTCTTCTGGACATCAAGTAAGTGATTCCGAGATGAGATAAACAGGCAATCTTAGCTTAGTTTCTGTATTCACTTTTAAGTATTTCTTAGTTACTCCAGCTTGCATCCTCTAGTCAGCATAGGAGGGAGGAATTAACAAACTGAAAACCCCACATTACATTAATAATGTTATGGCATGCTCTCAGCAGATATATAACCTTGTAGCTCAGGTCCCAGATTCCTCCTGACTACCTTGCAAGTTCTCTTCACCCTACTACATCACAGTACGTCGTCTTGATTCCTTTAAAAAGTTAACTTCCCCCGCGTATAATTGAACCAAATTCCTGCTCCAAGGCATTATCTTGTGACTTCTTAGTCGTTAGATTCATTCCATTATTTTTAAACAGAAAATTTGTTCCCATCAGCCATCCTGCTTAATACTAACACAAAAACAGTCTCCCTATGCTTAACGCAGCAGACATTGTTTTCAGTCTTCCTCTAACAGAGACTGGGAAAATGTAGACATTTGCTAATCAGCCTGGTCAGAGATGCAATTACATACCTCTGGGCCAAGTAATACATGAACCTGGGGTCCTGACTCAGAACTAGGGAACTACTATTGCATGACATTCACCAAGACCAGCTGCCATCCTTTTATGGTGTGAAAACCAATGCTTGTGATTTGTGGTTTCCACCCGGGCCTCTGTCTTTATGGTTATCAAGTCACTTGGCTCTCTTAGCAGGCAATGTTTGAAGTTATTCTCAACTCCATTCTAGAACATTCACTTCAAATTAAAAGAAACTGTTTCAAACACAATCATTTTATAATGTTGTGCATTTATAGTAACATATTTGAAGATTCTGTCTGTGTTTGATAGTTTTAAGACATTGCAGTTCTATTTTTGACGTTGTATAGTCTTCTTCTGACTCTGGTCAAGTGTCAGATTAAGTTCTCAATCAGGCTAGGATCTGGCTGATCACCTTTAGGTTTACATTCTAATATTGTCAGGGTCAAGTTGCATTACTGAAATTTGCACACATGGTGGTGAGGTAGAAGTGGTCTGGAGTTCATATTTCAAATGGTGAGCCTTCATTGACGGAGGGCATGAGAATGCAGTATGAACATTTGTGGCTTTTGCTGACCCAGCTTTGATCTGAGCCCATTCAGTTTGAGGGTGTCTTTTGGAAATCAGCCAGAAGTCCAGAGACAAGACATAGAGAAGAAATGAGAAATGCTGGAAATATCTTTCGGTGGTGTGATGCAATTGAGACAACATACCGGCAAGTTATGTTCTCTGTCTACCTATGGAAATTTGTTGAATGTGGTAGCCTAAATAGGGAGGTTGAGCAATTCAAATAGTTTTCAATAAAGGCTTTACTAAAGGACTTGCAATTGAATTATTACAAATAGGTAAATATGGAACCTTGCCCTGGAATATTATATAATTAGTCGATTGAGTTTTTGAAAATGAATAATTGATCAAGCTGATCCTTCCTCAGGATTAGTTCTATCATACTCACATTCCTATCATGTCTGCCAATCCTTTAAGGTCCAGAAATGTGTCTTAATTTTACTTGAATCTGGCTGTGTTGTTCCATCTCGGGAAGCTTTCGGGGTAACATATTTAACATTTTCATTGTCATGTTAAAATAAATCCACTTAAGTTGCTTATTCTTAATTTGCTAACTTAAATAAAATTGGAACCATGGTATTGAAGCTTTTTGTTATGATTAACAGTTTTTAATGATGAGCAGAAAAGTTACCTGAGCTTAGCTTTAAAATCCACTACTGTACAAATCCTAATTTTTTTTTTTGTTTCTGATTTCTCTCCAGGATCTCCTCGTAATAAATATTGCAAATGGGAGCGTGATGTCCCTTACCAGCGGTAAATTTCAATTTTTTTCATTGACTACATTTAGTTTTCTACTCCAAGAAACATTATTTGCATTTTGTCTTAATTTCATTTGAATGTTTTCTATTCAATGGCACTCTAGTGACCTGAAAGGTCCTGTTGCATCTTCACCTGTTTGTGTTACAGGTTCAAGTTCAGTTGCTGGAAGCTGGACGCTACTGGCTATACACCAAGATCTGATGGTAGTTACATGCTCATCCCCTAACTGTCCACCCAGTCTGGTAAGAAGCCTGAAATTGCAGAGCATTGATTGATTGAATCTTGTAATCCATTGTAAATGCAGTAAGATGACAGCTTGTTCACATACTCATGTCAATTTTTCAGGTACTGGGTATAATTTTGTGATTTCTGGAAAATACACAATGTTCAGAATTTGAAGAGCCTAGGTGTATACTGACATATAGTTAGTTGTTTTAAATGGAAAATATCGTAAATTATGCAACTTTAAGCAAATTAAAGGCAATAAGCTAATTTTGGGATTAAATTTCATAATTTGTAGGCACAAAGGTTCAGCAGTTCACGTAACAATTTTGCTTTGGAGTTAGTTTGCATGGGTATATTCATCTACTTTGTTTGAATTGAGGTGACCTTGTTAATGCTAACATTACTGATAAAGTAGAAGTTGACTGCAAGTATGATCTGTTACTGATTTATCATTGAATTCAAAAAGAGTGACTGGAAACTTATCCAAAAATAAAAAAAAAACCGAACCTCCCTTTACCTGAACTGCATCCGTGAACTGCGGTGTTGCACTAATCATTTTGGAATTTCATGGACTAACTTCTTTATTGGTCATCAAACTCTGTTTTAAGATGCATGTTTAAGAAAATAGTAAATTAATGTAGAATGGAGAGATTTAAAAAGTGTTGTTTCATTCCTCCTAGAAAGTGGGCTTCCTGCCTGCTTCTGGCAAAGAGCAGGGAATCATTTGGGTGGCACTAGATGAAGCTGAACCATTGCCAGGCATAGAGTGGAATATTTTGAATTTCACACCCCCATGTGAACAACAAAATCCTAAATTCCGTAAGTAGGGACAAAAGAAATGTGTATATTCCAGTTTGGTTTTTCATTTTATTACTAGTATATTTGGCTTCACGTGACTGTTTGTTTGTTTATTCTTCTTTTATCATCTATCTGTTTTCTGTTAGCTGTCTGTTTTTCTCCCTGTACTATTGGTAACACGTAGGTGCTTCATCCAGTGGCTGGCCTGGTTAAAGTATGTTCAGTAATGCAGTGACAAGTAGACAATGAAAATCTTTTGTTTTGTCCTCATCTGTACTGCCCCCAATTTGGCTGTCACTGGGTTAGGTGACAGAAAAGGTGCCGCCATCTGCTGTAATGGGGGTTTAGTCAACATTTTGTTAAAGCTCATGCATGAATAATCACCACTTTGATAAGATTCCAGAAGTCAAATAGCACTTGTCAGGCTTTTTTTCAGCAGAGATTCAACACCTTCAGAAGAAGTAGGTAGCAACTAGTAAGAAGGTTCTGACACTTCATTGCTGTTGTTTTATTAATGAAAAGGAAGTGGTTGTTTCAAGCAAATTTGCCCTTTTGCTTGACAGTGTCTCTCTGTACTGATATGCTGATACAGGCCCAATCGTCTGTATGGACTTTTGTACTGTATACAGGAATAGATAAGAAATGTCCATTAGTTGTGGTTCTTTAGATTCAAACTTGTTAAATATCTGACATTAACTCACCAAGAACTGGGTAAACCAGCGAACTAATTGCCAAGTTGGAGTATTCTTTATTCTCTGAAATTCCAACCTTGCAAATAATCACATTCCATTGTAAAAGAGCATGTTAATGCTTAATAGATGTGTTCAAGCTGAGTTGCTTTGTGATTATAGAAATTGGGGCTGGATGTTCAATGGGCTGGGGCATGAGGGGGTGAGCAGGGTGTTCTGTGCCCAATTGGGACTGCAGACCAGAATGTTATGAGGCAGATGGGTAGCGCTGCAAACAGTAAGTTGGCCATGGCTGCAGGTTTAAAGGACTGCTGCGCTCTGAATCTCTCCTTTAAAAATTAATAAAAGGCTAAAAAAAATTGTCAAACAAATTTACTGATGCTGCAACTTTTATGAGCATCTGCGGTTACATTCAGTTGTAGCCCAAGTGACACACCTTCTCTTAAACCTTTGTGCTGTCTTGTTATAGCTGCCATTAAATATTCTCAAATATTTTCACATCCAGTGTACAAAAATCCAACATGCAATAAAAATTGCAGATGTTTGAGTTGTTTAGAAGTTCAATAGGTTGTTGAGTAGTAATTTCAGTGTGGCAGGTGTACTGCCACTTTCCATGCACACTCATTTTAGGCATATTGGAGACTGGTGTGATGATGTTGTATTGTGGACTCAGTGTCGTCATGCTCTATTTTGCATATTTGAGTGGTTTAATGGGTGCTTTGCTCTATGATGTTAATCTGACAACAGGCAGTTGATAATTTCAACTAAGCGGTTAGCCTTGCTTGAAATGTAAGTGTCAGGGAAACTGTTTTGGTCTGTACCCTGTCAGAATAACCTATTGCACCTGCAGGAGTGGCAGCTGTCTGCTGGAACAATTTCAGGTGCTGCCTGTTATGTACCGTTATACCTTTCTTGTTTTGTATTCAGTTGTTTCTTTCCTTTTCATTTAGCTGTGATGGACTTTGAAGGTATTCTATTAATACCAGGAGAAAAGAAAGAAGATGCCTCCCATTCGTTGATTGTTTGGCCACATGGTGAGTTAAAATGATTCATTGAAATGTGCACCATCATAAATTATCTGAGGTGGAATTATATAGTTCAAGTCAGGCATGTGGCATTGTAGAAATATTAAAACTGATTCCTGATGAGTTGTTCACTTGTATTAACTCACCACTGTGCAGTAATGTCTGACTCTGGATTTTTGTCATGGAACTGAGTTGTATTTGCAGTTGAATTGTACCTTCCTCCCAATACAGACTTGTAAAAAAGCAGTCACTGTAAACATAGTAGGTTTGTCAGCAGTTAAAAAGAAGGAATGCTAATGCTTTCGCTTGAAACCTGACGGTGTTTTTCTCTGGGAACTATTTCTTGAATAGTAACTGAACTGCTCTAGTTGCAGTATTTTCTGTTTTATTGTCATACTTCCGATATTTGATGTTTTCTGCGTGTTCCTTTTGTGATTCTCTCGGTTCATCCCAAACAGGTTGAATGTTTTGTTGTTTATGGATAATTTTGAAGTGCTGTTAATTTCCAGTTTAATGCTGTTGAAAGTTATTGATATTAAAAAATAGGATAATATTTAAAATAGGATGATATTTAGAGTTGGTTAATGTATTGTGGTACAGAGGAACAAAGAAAATGGAAAAGCTTTGTAAAGTATCACCAGGAAAATAAATAAAGCCAATTTGTTCAAATCAAGAAGAGTGTCCCCTTTAGAACAGTTCTGTTTGAATTGGTAAAGATGTAACTTGAGACCAACTAAAGTCAGTCTGCACCAAGCCATTTCAGTGTAAGGTTGCATTGGATATTTATGAACTGTCAAATGCTATTTGGTTTTGCACTTCACATCAGATGTTTCACTCTTCTATTTCTTTTGAGAATATAGTATCAGTACTGTGCTGTACTGAATGAAGTCATGCATGTCAGACCATTTATATTTTAGTACTTGTCAATGTCCAAAGTGGACATTTTCAACCCCCTTTTCCTCACTTGTTGCCCCCATTAAAGAAATTCAAGAATAGAGGAACATTTAATGAGAGAAATACATGCTAAACTATTGATGCTTTCTGACGTCTGTGTTTTTGCTGTACAGGCGGACCACATTCAGTGTTCATAGCAGAATGGTTGCTGTATCCTGTCACGCTCTGCAGGCTGGGATTTGTTGTACTACTCGGTAAGTAATGCAACTGGACAACCCGCTGATCTATTAGAAAGGCTGAGGCTGTCTTCCAACAATAAAGTGTAAATTGTCTTCCCAATCTTAGCTGGGCTCTGTCCTCGGGATCTGAAACAAAGACTGAAATTGCTGGAGAAATTCAGTAGGCATGACAGCATCTCTGGGGAGAAAGCAGAGTTAATGCTTCCAGGCTGGTGACCTTTCATCCGAATTAGTGGTTGAAGAAAGGTCACCAGCCTTGAAACAATGATAAGTTGACCAGTTCTGCTGTAGCGAAAGATGGTTTTACTTTGCTTTGATCTGTTTAAACTTGGTCATTTTGGTAGTGATATACCTTCTTACCAATGTCTTCACTTTTTAAATATTTTGTTCTATGTGTCGTGTCTCATGTTCGCAAATTTGTTCTCTGGTGTATCCTCATCAAAGCAAAATCATATTTAAGCACATGAATTTATAACATTATAAATTTTATAAGTAACTGTCATCTTTGAATAATGGGCACAAAGGAGATTTAAACATGTCTCCGAAAAGTCACTTGACTTCTGATTGGATTCCACTGTGATTGGGACCAGACTGTGTTTCACAAGGAGGATCACGAGACATTTAAAATGCAAAAAGCATTTCCAGAGAGAGAAACAGAAAGTCATTGACAGTGGTTTCCCCAGAAGTATGAATAGCTCTTTACTACTTCTCACAACACAGAAGAATATGAATCATTCAGGTTAATATGTGAGACTGTTAGCAAGTTGATTGCCTCAGCTACAACATAATGTGCTCTAGAAATAGTTTAATCCAATATCTAATGTGGAAATGTGGTTTGACAGTTTGGGATATCAGCCATTTTCACCTGTATTAAAGTGTAATTGGTATGAGCCATTTTTTTTTACAAAGATGTCAGGAGAACCTGTGAAAGAAGCTCTAGCCATCGCTCTTAACTGTCACATGCTATTCAGTTAGTTTAGTTTTGTTTACTCTCTAATGTTGAGGGTATCAGAAGAAGGTGCCCAGAAATTACCTCTGTTTTGCTGAAAAGGAATCTAGGCAGGTTTTCCAAATATTGTGCCCAAAGAAGCAACAAGGAAAAAGATGTCAACTTATCCCTGGAACAGCTGTACCTACTGAGTCCATGTATAGAAACAAACTCTGACTATTCAGCAACAGAAGCCATTGTACCTGCTGAGTATGTCCCTTCAAATTCAACTGTTTTATTGTGAACAATCAATATTTCAGCTGCATACTACAAGCCTGCAACCAAAAGCCAAAGAACAGAACTAAGTTTCATCTTTTAGAAGTATCCTTTATGCTTATCTGCATTCCAATTCACAGCAGTGCTAAAAATTTAAAAACTTGGTTAAAAACTAAGCTTTATATTGGTTAAAACTAAAATTTTGCTGATTTTTTTAAGTTGCATCACTCAAAGTAAAATGGGACTTCATAATCAGGCAGACATTCTTAGCTAACCAAGCACATTAAGAAAATGTTTTGTATGTAGTCATGACAAGTAGAAAACTTTGTCACTGGATTTTCTGAGGACTGTTGTTCTCCTGTTAGAGTAACTTGTGAAATCCGTTCTATTCCCAAATCTCACTAATGATTCTTTCATCACTCCACACTCTACTGGAACATTGATAGTTAATTCTCTTTGTGGCAAAACCTCCTAACCTGAGCTTGAAAATCAGGACCAAATAGGGTTATGCCTTTGGATTGCAACTTGCTGCACCATTTCCATGTTGATGGTATATCAGGCTTTCTGCCTTTGCTTTTATGTGTCTCTGTCAGCATCCTTCTCAATTCCTCTTTATCTTTACATTACCCGCAGAGTGTTGGCCCTTGAAACCTCATTCTCTGTAAAATAGATGGTTTTGTAGTGCCTTCAATGAATCAGGACAACAATTTTTAACTTCTAAATGAAGGTGAAAACTACTTGTTTTTGTCATTCACTATGCTCAGTCCTCATTATCTGCTGACTTGCTACATGCAGTTTCAAGTATTCATCAGTGCAGCCCTGCACCCGATTTTATATTTTGCCTCTCTTAATTTGTCCGGTCTAATTGGATGGTACTTCATGGTACATAGAGTTTTATGTAGGAATGATCACCTGCGTTTTTGTCATCTGTGCCTGTTGTGTCTCTGCAACACCCCCCACCCTGACCCTGCCCCTGAAGATGGTGAGGATTGGTGTGCACACTGATTGGTGTATGGGTGTCAAAGGAGGTTTGACTATTAAACTGAAAAAAAATGCCTTAATTAGTCATGAGGCTGCCTTCTCATTGGCTGGTTCTAAACAATTTGTGAAATAATTGTGTTTCAACATTGTTCTGGAAAGATTAAATGAAATGAAACTTTGCGTCCAAGGTTTGTTCTGGGTCCCACACTAGCCGATCGTATTGTAATAGGGATCCACTGTATTGTTGTCTCTGATTCATGACATGAAAGTTATCTATTTCAGGATGCATCTAATAGGTCAGTTCCTTCAAAACACTCGTACTAAGTAACCGCCATAATGCCTTGTGTTCTCAACTGAAAAAGTTTATCAATAGGTGCTGAACCCTTTTTAGATTAAAAGTGCAGTTCTTTAGAATTAGAGAATTGTAGTGGGATTGATGGCAAGTGTCTGATGATTTTGTGAAAAAAAAAGCATATCTATGTTTACTGCATCTGTGCTCAGTGGATTTCAGTGACTGTAAACTACATTACTGTTCCCTGTAAAGTGAATCAGTTAATATAGAAAAATTTCCCTTAAAGCGTATTTTGTTGCAGCCATGTATTTTATTTGTAGAATAAGTTGCTTTACTTACTTAATTACTGAACTCTTAAGGGTTGAAACAGAAATGCTGGAAATATATGTTAGGCTCCCCAATCTAAAAATTTTCATTCTGTCTAGTGACAGCTCTCCTGAAATATAGGCCATTCTGTTGCTTAGATGGGTGGTATATGTTTTTGAGTATATTTGATGTCCAGTGTTTGCAAATTTCCTTTGTTCTCCACTGTTCAAAATAAATAATGTAGACCCCATTGACCCTATTTTACAGTAAATTACAGAGGCTCTGCAGGCTTTGGACAGGACTGCATCTATTCTCTGCCTGGAAATGTTGGGAGCCAAGATGTAAAAGATGTACAGGTAATGCTCAGTTTGGATAATTTATATGTTGATAGATGCTGGCCCATAACTCTTGAAACATTAGGAAGCCATACTGCATCTCACAAAGGAGGTCTTCTGTCTGGCTTTTAGGAATAAGCTGAAAGTTTGTTTTCCATAAAAAAAATTTTGTTGCTTATGATCCAGTTAAGCAATAGTGTCAAAGTCTTTGTATAGTAGTGTGACCCAGTAAATAAAAATGTTTGAGCACGTGACTATCGAGCTTAAACTTACGTACTGATTTGAGATTTGTGCCACTTGTGACTCAAACTCTGTTCATACCTGTCATTCATTTTTGTTCAAAAGTAGCTTTATAACCTTGGTATAGGAAGAAGCTAATGGCATTTGCAAGAAGCAACAATGTTTCTGAGCATTAATGGACATGATTTTGTGTAATTTCCAAGTCCCAGAGCCATCTCTTTGATTTTCCTTTTATGTTAGGATGTGCAAAATTCTAAAAATTCTGATTTTAAACAAAGGTGTCCAAACCTCATTCCACTCTTGGCCTTCCCACCAGAACCATGCATTGTAGCACCATTTTTTTTAATCAAACAGATACTTGAGAGCAACGATGAGGGATTGCTGCATGATTAAGGTGCTGTTTTTCAGTTGTAACTTTAGTCCAAGTGTATCTTTATCTTTTGAAATATCCTGTGATATTGACTGTGCAGAGCGGACTGGAATTTTCTTACTTTCTTGCTCGGTTATTATCCCTCAATTGATACAGCTAGTAGTTTAACTGGTTTTCTTATTTGGTGCATGTGGGTCATGGCAACTGAATTTACCCCATGAGAATATTGCATAATTGTATAATTATGGAATTGACAGCTAATTTGGAATATCTCAAACGTAAAAGGAGCTATATAAATAAATTCAAATATGTTGTAAATATATGGTTGGTCTGCTAGAATAGAATTGAAATTTATTATCACATGTATTTTGCATGTAAAAATGTGGAGAAAACAGCATCTACATCAATGGCAGAAGCTGTACATCATAATTAAAAAGTAAAATTAAGACCAAGTACATCACAGTTCAGTTAACGGCTCTTGGGCTCAGGGAAGATGCAGCTGGGACAAGATCGCCATGCCGGGCTAGTGGATACTCGGCTGGAATCCTCCACCAATAAAGACCGCCATACCGAGCCAAGACCGCCACTCCTGGACAAGACCACCTGCTGGGCCGCTGGAATATCTGGACACTGAAGAAGACCTCCATGCTGGGAGACTGCCACACAAGGAGAGCGCCAAGCTGGGCCAAGACCGTCTTTCTCCTTTTAGGGTCCCGAGCCTAGCTGCAGACATGGAGCCTCGGCTTATCCTGCGAGTCCAGGCCTGGGGTGTCAGCCCAGGACCTGTTCCTCACTCAGTGGGAGACCCCAGGTTAGGGTGGAGCTGTGTCTGGCTCGTCCTGGCGTTGCTGCTGTCAGAGGCTTAAAAGAAAATGAAAAAGATCAAAAGTAAACAGAAGAAAGAGAAAGAAAGCCGATGGGAGAGGCCAAGCCCTGGGCTCAGCCCTCCTACTCTGCTGCTATCTTGAAATGAGTGTAACTGTCAAGTCCCACCTGTTCCAGAGGTTGTAACATCATCACTGACTGGGTTGATTATAAAAATAGGTTGAATAAAAAAATTTTAGGCTCTTATGGTTTGGGGCCCTCTTGTGGTGCAGTGGTATTATCCCTACCCCTGAACCAGCAGGTCTGGTTTTGAGTCCCACCAAGTCCAGAGGTATGTAATAACATATCTGAGCAGGCTGAATTTTTTTTTTATACAGCAGATCCAGGGATGGGTCTGTAGAATGGTCTGCCCCAGGCTGTGACTAGCCTGTGACAAGCCATGAGTAGTGGCTCTATTTTGGTGTTCAACAACAGACAATGTTCCTTTTCAGTCAGGCTTCCAGGGTTATTATAGTAACTTCCAATCTCACAATTTTTTACTGTTCGAGTAAATACACCTGAGTTTGTTTTTCATCATAAATATATCCACTGATCATTGTGAAGCTACATTCCACATTTTTCATGGTTTTAATTCCTTTTAAAAATGGCATGAGCAAAACAAGAGAGTACTCCAACTGTGGTCTGAAGAATACTGGTTTAACATTTGTTCCTTGCTTGACTTTTTTAATATCTCTACATGGAAAAAAAAATCCAGTTTATCCTTTTTACTTAAAAGCAGGTCTGCAAATATTTAACATATCTGCATTCCAATACTAAATGAGATCAATTCGGCTGTTTTTTAAGAGCATTGCTGTTTAACCTAACTTGCAAATCTGATTGGTCTTTCTAAATGTAAATCTTTAAATGTTGATTTAAGTTTGCCACATTACTGTCCACTCTTCCAGCATAATTTTTCTGTTTTGCTATACATGCTAACTTACTGTCATGAAATTTAGATATTGCTTCCCTTATGATCACAACCAGATCATACATTCATATGAGAGTTCCCAACACAGACCATAGCTGATCCCAGCATACTTTTTTCTTTGGCAGGTTTCCCCAGATATGTTGAATTTTATCATTTGTGTTGAATTGTCCAGGTGCAAAGGCAGATTTTTGAACTAACTAGTGAACACAAACCTTCGTACTCTTGTTAAAAGCTCCACTTGATGAGCATTTTTACGAGAAAGTCTTCATGTGTTTCTGGGGTGATGATTTGATTGCACAAGAAAAATCTTGCTGATTGGTTATTCTTTACTGTGCCACAACAATTCTGATTCATTGCATACTTGTATATTGTTTTCAATTTTGAAATGGAGTATTTAATTGTTTGGATCAAGTCAAATAGAAAGGAACATGCTACAACATTAAATGAGCCATACATTTTATTTGAAACCATTATAAGATTCAGTTATTCTCAACAAGAATGTAGCATAATGTAATTCATCACTGAAGCAGCACTTGTAATTGACTTTTCAAAGGTACAAATATACAGATTTATCTTTGTTTCTTGAGCAAAGAACAACGCTTGATCATGTTTATGTTAGAATGATCTATGGAACAGCATATTTTATATCTAATCAAGCATTGAGTCTGTAAAGTATTAGTCAAGTTTTTATACCAGCAAATTGCATTCATAATGTGTGAACTCAGTAAATTCAATACTGAATTATACCTATACTTTGGCTTCATTTAAAAACAAAGATTCCCTAGTATCATGAGATGTCTGTATTGTGCAGAACAGACCATCCCAGATTTAATTTCTGGTTTGCTCTAATTCAACTTACTTTGGCTAACTGAAATGGGATATTATAACTTAGCTCAAAGTAACTTGATTAAAGAAGTGTGAAGCAGCAATGGTTCTTCTTCCTTGTTGCTATCACTGTCCAGTGACTACTGATAGAATGTGTTTTGCATTAGGTAGGGGAGGCAGTGATGTAATGGTACCGGACTGATAATCCAGAAGCCCAAACTAATATTATGGGGAACGTGGATTTAAATCTCACCATGGCAGAAAATGAAATTTAATTGAATGAAATCTGGAATTAAAAGCTAACTTAATTATTGGCCATATAATAATTGATCACTGTTGTAAAAGCACATCTAGTTAATTTAGTTAAATAATGTTTCACGGTACCAGTGTTCTTTGGGAAAGGAAATCTGTCCTCCGTACCTACAAGTGACTCCACATCTATAGCAATGTGATTGACTCTTAAATGGCCTAGCAAGCCATTCCATTGTAAGGCAGCTAGAGATGGACAATAAATGCTATCCTAACCAGTGATGCCCACGTCTGAAGAATTAAAATTAAAAATACAAAGGAAAGGGCCATTTTGCCTATTGGAGGCTGTGTAGTCAAAGAAACTGAAAATGCGCATGAATGAAGATTATTCAACCACATTAGAGATACTTAAAAGCTACTGAATTTCAACCATACAGACAAAGTAGTAGAGTGCAAATCAAAATTAACAGTGGACAGCTGTGGTTGAATTTTAGAATACTGTGTCCAATTCTAGATGCTGAATTCCAATGAAACTCAAATAGTCAAGACCATGCAAACAAAAATCACAAAGATGATTCCGAATGTTTAGGTTTCTATTTTCTGAAGAAAATACAAAGAGTTGGAACCCTAAAAAGAGGCACCTGAGAGGTGACGATCCTTAATGTAAGAAATGTCTGCAGCTGGCACCTCGTAGTGATAAGATCATCTTTAGATAGATATGCTACCACCAGTCCTCCTTGCAAGATTAGTCTACAGGACTTTAAAAGTAGTTAGTGGTGAAGGAGGAGGAGGCATGTACTTGAGTAACCAGAAGTAGTTTATTATGTAATTGTAAGCTAAAGGTTATATTAGTTTAAAACTAGTTAACTACATTAATACTAGATAAGAGACATTGTTATTTCCTAAGATATAGTAACTCGGTCTATGCCATGCAGCTGTAGTTTGTAGAACAAACTAACCGTGAACCTAACCCTCCCTCTACTGACCCCTTCTCCCGCTTCCAACACACCCCCTCCTCCTGGACACCACCCCAAGGCCTCCTACCCTCCCTCGACCTCTTCGTCTCCAACTGCCGTCGAGACATCAATCGCCTCAACCTCTCCACCCCTCTCACCCACTCCAACCTCTCCCCCGCAGAACGTGCAGCCCTCCGCTCCCTCCACTCCAATCCCAACCTCACCATAAAACCCGCGGACAAGGGAGGTGCAGTTGTAGTATGGCGCACTGACCTCTACATCGCCGAGGCCGGACGCCAACTCTCCGACACCTCCTCCTACCGCCCCCTTGATCATGACCCCACCCCAGAGCACCAAACCATCATCTCGCAAACCATCCACAACCTCATCACCTCAGGTGACCTCCCACCCACGGCCTCCAACCTCATCGTTCCCCAACCTCGCACTGCCCGCTTCTATCTCCTTCCCAAAATCCACAAACCTGAATGCCCTGGTCGACCCATTGTCTCCGCCTGCTCCTGCCCCACCGAACTGATCTCCAACTATCTCGACTCCATTTTCTCCCCCTTGGTCCAGGAACTCCCTACCTATGTCCGTGACACCACCCACGCCCTCCACCTCCTCCAGAACTTCCAATTCCCCGGTCCCCAACACCTCATCTTTACCATGGACGTCCAGTCCCTCTACACCTGCATTCCCCATGCAGATGGCCTTAAGGCCCTCCGCTTCTTCCTGTCCCGCAGGCCCGACCAGTCCCCCTCCACTGACACCCTCATCCGCTTAGCCGAACTCGCCCTCACACTCAACAACTTCTCTTTCAATTCCTCCCACTTCCTACAGACAAAGGGGGTAGCCATGGGTACCCGCATGGGCCCAAGCTACGCCTGCCTCTTTGTAGGTTACGTGGAACAATCCCTCTTCCGTACCTACACCGGCCCTAAACCCCACCTCTTCCTCCGTTACATTGATGACTGTATCGGCGCCGCCTCGTGCTCCCACGAGGAACTCGAACAGTTCATACACTTCACTAACACCTTCCACCCCAACCTTAAATTTACCTGGACCATCTCTAACACCTCTCTCCCCTTCCTGGACCTCTCTGTCTCCATATCGGGCAACCACCTCGAAACCGATATTCATTTCAAGCCCACCGACTCCCACAGCTACCTAGAATACTCCTCCTCCCACCCACCTTCCTGCAAAAATGCTATCCCCTATTCCCAATTCCTTCGCCTCCGCCGCATCTGCTCCCAGGATGAGGCATTCCACTCCCGTACATCTCAGTTGTCCTCGTTTTTCAAGGACCGTAACTTCCCCTCCTCGGTGGTCGAGAACGCCCTCAACCGTGTCTCCCACATCTCCCGCACCTCATCCCTCACACCCCGTCCACGCAATAAAAACCAAAAAAGAATCCCCCTCGTCCTCACGTTCCACCCCACCAACCTCCGGATCCAACGCATCATCCTCCGACACTTCCGCCATCTGCAATCCGACCCCACCACCAAAGACATCTTTCCCTCCCCACCCTTATCTGCTTTCCGGAGGGACCACTCTCTCCGTGACTCCCTTGTCCGCTCCACACTCCCCTCCAGCCCCACCACACCCGGCACTTTTCCCTGCAACCGCAGGAAGTGCTACACCTGCCCCCATACCTCCTCCCTCACCCCCATCCCAGGCCCCAAGAAGACTTTCCACATCAAGCAGATGTTCACCTGCACATCTGCCAATGTGGTATACTGCATCCGCTGTACCCGGTGTGGCTTCCTCTACATCGGGGAAACCAAGCGGAGACTCGGGGACCGCTTTGCAGAACACCTACGCTCGGTTCGCAACAAACAACTGCACCTCCCAGTCGCAAACCATTTCAACTCCCCCTCCCATTCCTCAGACGACATGTCCATCCTGGGCCTCCTGCAGTGCCACAACGATGCCACCCGAAGGTTGCAGGAACAGCAACTCATATTCCGCTTGGGAACCCTGCAGCCCAATGGTATCAATGTGGATTTCACAAGTTTCAAAATCTCCCCTCCCCCCACCGCATCCCAAAACCAGTCCAACTCGTCCCTGCCTCCCTAACCTGTTCTTCCTCCCACCTATCCCCTCCTCCCACCTCAAGCCGCACCTCCATCTCCTACCGACCAACCTCATCCCGCCCCCTTGACCTGTCCGTCCTCCCTGGACTGACCTATCCCCTTCCTAACTCCCTACCTACACTCACCTTTCCTGGCCCCATCCCCGCCTCTTCGACCTGTTTGTTTCCTCTCCACCTATCCTCTCCTCTATCCCTCTTCTATCCGCCTCCCACTCTCTCCCTATTTATTTCAAAACCCCCTTCCCCTCCCCCTTTTCTGATGAAGGGTCTAGGCCCGAAACGTCAGCCTCTCTGCTCCTATGATGCTGCTTGGCCTGCTGTGTTCATCCAGCCCTGCACCTTGTTGTCTCAGATTCTCCAGCATCTGCAGTTCCTACTATCTCTAGCTTAAAACTGACTGGCTCCTCCCAGAGATAGACATTTATATACCAGTGGGTGGAGCTACTCTAAATTTTTAGAGTTAACTTTTTCAGACCACTGATTTATGAAACAATCCTTTTCAGAATATATACAATTGTAAACAGTACAGAAAAAATGAATTTTGAAAATAACTTCATGCTAATTGCAGGAGTTTGAGAGCTGGAGCATATCATGCCAAGTTTCAGTATCCTTCAGCTCGTGTTTGCCCACAAAATTGGTGCAAGCCTTGCTGATAGTGTAACAGCAAGGCGAATGTGACATATGGAACTTGGCAAACATCAGGCCATCTTGCCAAACAATGAATCATCTTTACTCAGTTAGCTTAAAGTGAAAATTGCCATAATCCCAAAGGACCAGAGGCTGCTGTCTCATTTTAGAAAGGGTCACCACTCTGAGGGAAGATGATGAAAAAGCGAGGACTTCAAGGGATCTCAGCCAGAACAGGAACTGAACCCGTGACTTTAGTATCACTCTGCATCACAAATCAGTGAGCTAAAGTATTGACAAATAAAAAGGAAGGGCAGAGAAGAGTGTTGCATTAGAGTACTGAATTACATGTCATTAGATACAAAAAGTGAAATGGTGGTGGGGGGGGGAAGAAAAAGAATGGATCAATAGAGACAAAATAGGTAAAATTAGGGAGAATTGCAGGAAATTCTGTCAGTATGTTAAGAGGAAGAGGATATGAGTAGGGCCTATTCAAGACCAATGGGGCAATCTGTGCATGCCGCCAGTGGGCATTAGTGTGGCATTAAACAAGTTCTTCACTTCTATTTTCCATTGGGAGAAAGAAGATGTAGATGCAGAATTTGGGGACAGGGAATGTGAGTTTCTTCAGTCTATTGACTTTGGGAGTGAGGGGGTATTAGAGGTTTTGGCGGGCTTAACAGTGGTTAAATCGGTAGGTCTGAATTGAGTTGTACCCCAAGCTGCTGTTAGGGGTGAGGGGACAAAATTACAAGAGCTCTCTCTCAAAATTTTTCCTGTCTGGCCCAAGGGAAGGTGCCAGAGTACTAGATGATAGCTAAGGTTAGTAGGGATTTTATCGGTTGTGACATAAATCATAAGAGCAGGAAGATTATGTTGGAGCTGTATAAAACTTTGGGTAGGCCACAGCTGGACTACGGTATACAGTTCTGGCCATGGCGTCATGGGGAGGATGTGATTGCATTGGAGGGGCCCAGAGGAGATTCACCAGGATGTTGCCTAGTTTGGAGTGCTCTAGCTACGAAGAGAGGCTGCCGAGGCTTGTGTTGTTTAAGAGCAGAGGAGGATGAAGCACGACCTGACTAAGGGGTACAAGATAATGAGGGACTCTATAATGTTGTCTTGACCGTTGTTGTGAGGAGTCGGGGGTGGTGGTCACAGCTTCCCTTGTTTGCTTTAATCCCTTCTGTGAGCCAGAGCAATTTCTTTTATTTTTCCTTTTTATCAAATAGCTATCATACTTCAGTTAAATTTAATTAACAAGATCTAAAATGAAGGAGAGCTAACTCTAAAGCTTTCTTGAAAGTGAGTGGTGTTTTCTACTACCTTGTAAAAATGAATAAAAGGTGACGACAAACACACAAATGAGCTTCCAAAGACTGGGGTTGGGTGGGAGCAGTGCCTGATCCAAACAGGAGGATAAAGGAAAATGTAGTTACAGTTTTGGAGAACTTTGGTTATGAGAATGCAGAGGCAATGTTAGTTGTCCTTTTTTTAACTTTGAAAAGTTCACATCATGAATTCTCAGTGAGGGATACCCTTGTCATTATTATAAGGGCAGTAACATTCATTGCGTAAGAAGGTTCTAGTTTGCATTCTTTCTGCACCTTTTGCCCAGAATTTTAAATCTATGCCTGCTAGTCCTTTGTAGTATTAGCTAATAAGATCTGCTTTTCTTTGATTATCTTAACCAATTTTGTGCAGACATAGCTTTAGCACTTGAAATCTTTGCCCAGCAACAGAGTAATTTTATTTTAAATGGCCAATACATTTAGTTCACTTCCAAATGTAAATGGTACAAAAATATTTCTCATTTCAAGAGAAAATGTACAAAACTCAAAGACATTGAGATGCTGAAATAATCTATAAAAGCAAACGTGTGAACTCTTAGAGTAGTATTGAGCCTTGTCCTGCAATCGATCTGCTTTTTCTCAGCAGTCTAGGGACGCTAGTCGTGGATATTGTTCTATTGCCGTGCAAGATTCCTGCTGTCTTTGATGTGCACTATTCCTGCTGTTGGAGCATAAAGTAAATGCAGGTCAAATAGTTTGTGACAGTTTTATACTTTTTAATGTAATCAATAGTTAAATATTTGCTTTCCTTTTCAGTTTTCAGCAGAACAGGTGCTGAAAGAAAGATTTCCTGATACTTCGAAAGCCTTTGTAATTGGTGGTTCACATGGAGGTTTTCTTGCGAGCCACCTGGTTGGACAATACCCTGAATTTTACAAGGCTGGTGTGATAAGAAACCCAGTCACTAACATCGCTTCTATGCTAGGAACAACAGATATCCCAGACTGGTGAGTACTAATCTCAAGAGGGGAGGGAAACTGTCTATTTTGCATTAGTGCATTTTTGTTTAAAGCTCATTTTGTTTGTTTAAAACCATTTGAAGAAGAAATGTTTAATTATTTGGACAGAATTATAAATCTAATTTGAAACATTATAAACTAAAATTTGATAGTTCCCAAACTTGCATTGGCTTAACAGCATTGCTTGTGCTATGCAGTTTTCTTCCATATTCAAGTCTTTTAAGTTTTTTTTTGTCTTAATTTATCTGAACTAAAATGAAAGAAAAGTAAACCACTTTAGAAGCAAAGCAACAATTTACATGGCTGGCACCCTGCCTAAGGCAGACAGAGATGTGTATTGCTTTGATGTGGTCTCCTAGTCATTGGGATATATGTATTTGGTATCATGCTGGCATTGAAATTCATATATCATGTTACTGACTTGTGTGGTAAGCAAAATGTCTTTTTGGTTTGATGGCAGCATCCTATTAATGGAGTATGCCATGTTTTCACTGCAGAATAGCAGTGGGAGGTTTCTACCTTTACCTGTTGTGCAAATGCTTTGTGTCACTATCTCTTGCAATCTGATAGTCTAAGGTAGACTTGGACCCTTCCATGGGTGCCAACCATGCTCAACCAGCTCATGATTTACATGAGGTGATGGCCCAGCTAGACTACTAATCCAGAAATTCAGCTAAAGTTCTGGGGACATGGCAGATGGTCGAATCTGAATTCATTAAAAAATATCTGGAATTAAAAATGATGACCATGAAAGTATTGCCACTCTCAACTGGTCTGGCCTACATGTAACTCCAGACCCAGTTGACTCTCAAATGGCTGAGCACGCCACTCACTTCCTCTGGCATTGAACTAGACACCAGAAATGGTAGTGGCAGAAACAGCCCTGTCGACCCTGTAAAGATCTCCTCACCAACATCTGGGGTTAGTGCCAAAATTGGGAGAAATAACTCACAGGTTAGTCGAGAATGACATTGTTCATGAGTATGTCTATGTCCCAAACACCACCATCATGACTCCTGGATATGTCCTGTCCTGTCGGCAGGACCAACGCAGTGGTATATAGTTGGAAGCGAGTTGCTCTGAGAGTCCTCAACATTGGACCCCATGAAATCTCATGGGTAAACAGAGGCAAGGAGGCCACCGGCTGGTTACCACATACAGTCCTCCCTCCACTGATGAATCGGTACTCCTCCATTTTTGAACAACTCTTGGAGGAAGCAGTAGGGTGGCGAGGATGCAAAATATACACAGGATGGGAATTTCAAAGCCCACCACCACAAGTGGTGCAGCAGTACTACTGATCGAGCTTGTTGGGTCCTAAAGGACACAGCTGATAGTCTGGGTCTGCAACAGGTGGTGAAGAAAATAACAAGAGAGAAAAACATACTTAACGTCATCCTTAACAACTTGTTGGCTGCAGATGCATTTATTCATGACCGCATCTTCACCTTGAGAGTACTGACGGAGCTAAGCAATCTCCACTGTTGGATCAGATCTAAGCTCTGCAATCCTGCCACATCTAGTTGTGAATTGTAGTGGACAATTAAACAACTCACTGGAGGTAGAGTCAGTTGATGAAATCATTTAATAGTTGTTAATATATCTACGTGTCACCCACAGCCCAATCAATTAGCGCATTTTTCTCATGATTGTATTTATTGTTGCTTCCTTTTGTAAGTTGTTTTTAGTCATATTTGAGCCTTGACAGGTGCAAGATAAAATGCTTTGACTTCATGTTTCTTATTAGCAGTGTTTGCATCCTGTATTACCAAGCAGTTACAGATAAACAAGGTGATCTGCAATAGTGTTTTATTGGGGACTTCAGATCAAGTGTAATTTTTGGATGAAGTGAGGTGAGACAATGTGGGTTAATTAAATCTGGCCATAGCAATGTATTTCAGTCCACAGTTTCAAGAGACCAATTCTCTTAGTTAAAGCTGTTTAATTATAAATCATTTAAAGCAAATTAAAATATAAGACTATATATTCAGCACACAAAACAATAGTATAAAAATACCACCAGTTATGAAGTTCATTAGAACATAAGAACATAAGAACTAGGAGCAGGAGTAGGCCGTCTGGCCCTTCGAGCCTGCTCCGCCATTCAATAAGATCATGGCTGATCTCTTCGTGGACTCGGATCCATTTACCCGTGTTCTCACTGTAACCCTTAATTCCTTTATTGTTCAAAAAAAATCTACCTTTTCTTTAAAAACGTTTACTGAAGTAGCGTCAACTACTTCACTGGGCAAGGAATTCCATAGATTAACAACCCTCTGGGTGAAGAAATTCCTTCTCAATTCAGTCCTAAATCTGCTCCCTCTAATCTTGAGGCTATGCCCTCTTGTCCCAGCTTCACCTGCCAGTGGAAACATCCTCTCTACTTCTGTCTTATCTATTCCCTTCATAATTTTATATGTTTCTATAAGATCCCCCCTCAATCTTCTGAATTCCAACGAATATAATCCCAATCTAGTCAGTCTCTCTTAGGAGCAAAACTGAACAGTTAAAGGGAGTTAATGCACCTCTCTTTTTGTCACTATATCCAAGTAGAAAAGTATGTCAGACAAGAAGACCTGTTTGAAGTCTGCTTCTATGTGTAATGCAATCTTAGAATTAATCAAAGTGGATTAAGCGACACAAGTAATACTAAATTGTGTTCTGTCAGCAAATGGTGCTATCAGGAGTTAGGAGCAGAATTGCCAGTGTGCATGAGTGAGGTCTGATGAGTAGTTCAGAAATGTTCTGAATATCTTTGTTGCTGTCCCATTTCTGATTTCTAATTCATTGTGGACTTTGAACTTTTGAAGCCAATGGGGTTACTGTTGCTCAACAAAGTCCTCACTGGGTATGTGATTGGACTGATCACTGGATCATTCAATTCATGGAAAACAACACATCTGTTACTTTGTAGAGTACAAAAAGTTTGTTGATTTTTGGATTAATTAGTGTCATAAATTCTAGATTGGAATTGAATCTCAATGAGTTCACTTGGAGAAGGTTCCTGAGCTGGTGAGCTTTAACCTTATATTCTAAGAAAATGCTGAAAACCTGTGCATGCACACATGTTCCATCTGGAGGTAACATTGGCTATAGACAGAGCCAAATAATATAGCTGAATGGGAACTCCGCGCAGAAAAAAATTGTAAAAATGTCATTTTAAATTTGGCCTCTGAATTATGAGGAAATAATTGTAAAACGTTGGCGCACCATTACAGCTCCTGAGGTTTGTACTATCACTTTTATTAGGTGTATGGTGGAAGCTGGATTTGAGTACACAGCTGGTCAGCTTCCGACTCCTGCTTTGTTGGAAGCAATGTTGATTAAATCACCAATCATACACACTTCTCAAGTAAGCAATTTGCAAATGTTTCTCTTTTATCCTGTTTGGTTCATGTGATTGCATTTCCATATATTTATAAATTGCTGATAAAAACCATTGATGTTTTGGGGCTCATATCCGTATGCAGACTTTTTGGTTCGATGAAATGAACACTTTTTCACTTTTGATGAGTGTTCAAGCACTATCAGGTCAGCACAAGTAGACTGAAAGTCAAGTTCTTTACTCATTTGAATAATGTCTTTACTGCAGTAATGTGGCTCATTTTTTTCCCTTGTATTTGGCACTCTGTACAAGCTGAATGCATGTCCAAGTTGTGGGCAGTTTTGTATTTATGGACCTTGGTTGGTAGGAAATATGGGTTAATTTTATAAAATTAAGGATCACAACAGCCCATCAATCTGTGCTGATCTCAAAACCACTTGACAAAGGTGAGAAACTAACTTCTACTTCTCCTCTTCTACCTTTCTTATTATTTTTAACAATGACCTCTAAATAATAAATTCTTAATATAACATTCAGTCTTTGTCCATTGCTCTTTGAAAAAATTCTTATTTGGCCTTGTTAAAACATGCTTTAGTCATATTTTTTAATCTCTTCAAAGTCCTTGCGCTCATAGATTTGTTTCAGTAATAATTGTACTTATTTCTACATAGTTGATACTCGCTCCTTTAGTACTCCGTAACAATGTATGTTGATCACTTTTGTTACTGGGCTGAATATTGCTACTGATTCTTCTGTTTAAAGAACTGAAGAGACAGTTCATTTCTGTACACAGATGAGCAATATTCTATGTACCTAATACACACACACTATCAGTTGGTTGTGAAGGATCAAATGATTATTTTACCAAAAGTTGCAAGTGGCGTATATATTTTATGCAGTGTGTGTCGTAGGCTCCCTGAAAGATGTGTGTTTTTGTTATGTTGATGACTTAGATTGCCATTATCAGCAGTTGAGGAGTGAGGTAGACTGTATCTTTTTTAGTTGTTTCCTTTTTTTCTATTCTGGATGACAAATTAATCTGCGCTTCCTGCAGGTAAAATCTCCAATGTTGATCATGTTAGGCGAGAAAGACAAACGAGTTCCTCCCACTCAAGGCCTCGAGTTTTATCGAGCATTGAAAAGCAGAGGTGTTTCTGTAAGGTACGTTTAAAATTAAAAATAATAGAATTAGTGTCATCTTGTTATTTTGAGAGCCTAGTTACAGATGCTAGGATAACATGATAGACCAGGTTTTGCAGATTTGGTGTGTTGCTAACAGTTGTAGCCCCAACGTTGATCCCTGTGGCATACACACATTATAGGTTGTCAACCTGAAAATGAGTCCTTAGTCGAACTCCTAGTTAGTTCTATTAGTTAGGCAATCCTCTGTTCATGCAAATATACTGCCTTCAACACCAGGGCTCTTGCCTTTATTAAATAACCTAATCTGTGGTATCTTATTAAACACCTCTGGAAATCCAAATATATTACATCTATTAGTTCCCCTTTTTATATATTTGTGATCCTTAATTCTTCAAAGAAATCTGCTAAACTTATCAGGCGTGATTGCCCCTGCATAAAACCATACTGACTCTGCCTGATTATAGTATGCCATGCTATTACATACTTCTAATAAATTCTAATATTTTCCCAATAACAGATAGTAGGCGTACAGTTATCTTTTTTGTATCCTTCCCTTTATAAGTAAAGGTGTTGCGTTGGCATTTTTGTTCAAACCTTTTGGACTTTTCCAGAATCCAGGGATTCTTGGAAAATTGCTATCAGTGCATCCACCACCTCTGTGACTGCTTAATTTCATACCCTGGAACACATCCCATTAGGTCCAGGAAACTTATCAGCTTTTAAACCCATTGGTTTCTCAGGTGATATCCATTTCCTCTCTCCCTTTTGACCCTGAATTATTTGGAATTTTTGCCATGTTATTAGTCTTTTCTGCTGTGAAGAATTAGGCAAAGTATTTGTTCAACTCCTGCCATTTTCTGGTTCCCTATTATCATTTCCCAGACTCCTCCTCCTAAGAGGCCTTTGTTCACTTTGGTCTTTCTATTCCTTTTCTCATACATTTAAAAAAAGCTGTCAATCTCCATCTTGAGAACTTTCAAATTTACTCTCAAATTTTATCAAATCTCTCTTGTTTTAATTTTTGGTCATCTTCTGTTGGTTTTTAAAACTTTGCCACTCCTCTGACTTACCACGAATCTTTGCCACATTGTTTTTTTTTTCTTTTGATTTGACACTCTGTTTAACTTTCCTGGTTAACTATGGTTAGCTTATCCTCTTTCGAGAATCCGCTTTTCTATCTGGGATGTACTTTGTTTTGGGTCATGATCTATTTTCTTAAACATCTGTCATCACTCCTCAACTAACTTAGCTACTCAATTCCTTTCTCAATCTACTCCAGCCAACTGTGCCCTCCGTTCTTTTGAATTACCCTTATTTATGCTGAGCACAATTGTTCTCGACCCAATTTCTCACTGTCAAACTGAATGCGAAATTCTGTCATTTAACGGTCACTCAAGGATATTTTGCTGTGAGATCATTTGTTAAACTTGCCTTATTACTCATTCCCAGATCCAAAATAGTACAATCCTTATTCGGATCCACAACATGTTCTAAGAAACTGTCCTGAGTGCATTGTGACTTCTTTCTTTCTTCTGGCTACCTCTGCAAATTTGAATTTCTCAATATAAATGAAGATTAAAGTCACCCATGATTAAAATGCTGCTTTCTTTTTATATGTCCTATTTATCTCCTGAGTTATTCTCTGTCCTATAGTATAGCTACTGTTAGAGGCCTATTGATGCCTGTAGACTATTCCCAACAGTGTTGTCATCTCCTTATTTCTCACTCCGACCCAGTTGAATTCTGCATCTGCCAATCAGAGATTATCTTTTGTCGTTGTATTTATTCCATCCTGTACTAACAAAGCTAGTCTACCATCCTTTCCTTCCTTCCAGGCCTTTTGAGAAGTCACATACCCCTGAATATTTAGTTCCCAGCTTTGATCCACCGGTAACCATGTCTCCATAATAGCTATAAGACCCCAGACCCCATTAACCTTTTGTTTTCTGTTAAGTTATTTATTTTGTTCCGGATACTATGTGCATTCAAGTAAAAAGACCATTAATTTTGGCTTTTTACTATTTTTTTTTCCCCTTTTTGGCCCGATTTGCTTTCTTAATACCCTGTCCCTTACCTATCCACTTTGGGTATCATCATTGGAATAGTTGCCTGAAATGCTGCCATGTAATTTTGTGTTGTGAACTTACAATTTACCCTGTCCAAACCCCTTCCTTCCCCACACCCGACCCAAATTTGTTTAAAGCTTTCCCTATAGCCCTGGTTACTCAATTTGCCATGTTGAGCTATGATTCATTTTACTGTCAGACTAGAAAATGACATTGTCTCTATGTTGATACTAAACTACAGAATGGGTATAGCACAGAAGGAGGTCATTCTAGTGTCTCTTTCTGTCCTTCTCTTGGCTCTGCACATTCCTCATTTTCAGAAATTAATCTAATTACCTCTTAAATGCCTTGATTGAAACTACCTCCACCGCACACTCAAACAATATATTCCAATTCCCAACCACTCACTACGTAAAAAGGCTTTTTCTTCTCTCTCTATTGCTCTTTTGCTGTTCCCCTTAAATCTGCATGCTCTGGTTCTCCATCCTTATGCTAATGGTAACAGCTATTCCCCACTTACTGTAAACACGAAATGAGGTGGGGGTCAGTCCCTCACATCTGTATTGTCATTAAATAAGGTCATGATTGATCAGATTACTCCACCAATCTGCTCACACACAATAACTTATCACCTCCCTTACTTATCGAGGATTGCTCTATCTTTGCCTGAAGAGTTCTTGGTCATTAATATGCATCAAAAAAGCAAATGTTCTATCCTGCACCCCTGGGGAATTCCACTACTATAAACCTTTTTCCAGTATGAAAAATAGTAACTTAGCCTACTCTCTATTTCTTGTTATTCAGCCAATTCCTTATGCATATTGTTATTATCCATTTTATTCTACGAGTTGAAACCTTCCTCACAAGTCTGTTATGCCACACTTTATCAACTTTTGGAATTCCATGAACATCACATCGACTGCATTTACCTCACTAACCCTCTGTCTCTCTTCAAAATAACTCTAGCAGGTTAGTTAAAGAAGCTTGACACCATCCGGGACTAAACAGCCCACTTGATTGGCAGTACATCCACAAACATCCACTCCCTCCACTATTGATGCTCAGTAGCAGTAGTGTGTACTGTCTACAAGATGCAGTGCAGTAATTCACCAAAGATCCTCAGACAGCACCTTCCAAGCCCATGACCACTTCCATTTAAAAGAACAAGGGCAGCAGATACACGGGAATACCACCACCTCCACGTTCCCCTCCGGGTTACTCACCATCCTGACTTGGAAATATATTGCCATTCCTTCACTGTTGCTGGGTCAAAATCCTGGAATTCCCTCCCTAATGGCATTGAGTCAACCCGCAGCAGGTGGACTGCAGCGGTTAAAGAAGGCAGTTCACCACCATATTCTCAACGATAACTAGGGATGGGGATGGGCAATGAATGCTGACTAGCCAGTGGCGCCCACATCCCGTAAATGAATTTTTAAAAAAGCAATTTTCCTAAAAGGAACACCCGCAAGCTTTCCTCCATTAAGCCATATTTGTTGAAGCTTACATTATCATTTCTGGAAATTTCTGCACCATTTGAGATTAAATTTTTTTTTAAACATTTGTTTCATGGGATGTAGGCACCATTGGCAAGGCCAGCATTTGTTGCTCATTTCTCATGGCGCTTGCTTGCTCTAAGCCATTTCAGAGGCTAGTTAAGAGTCAACCACATTACTGTGCATCTGAAATCACATGTAGTCCACACCAAGTAAAGAACATTGGTGAACCAAATGTGTTTGATCATAATTGTCATGATCACCATCTAGAGACCAGCTTTATATTCCTGATTTTATTAATTAAATTTAAATCTACCAGCTGCTGTACTCAGATTTGAACTCATGGACCTCTGTATTACCACATCCCTGTAATTGACTTGCATTGGTTAGTGCACTTGCCTTTACGTCCTTTTTGTTGAATATAAGTAGCATTTGCATTTCTTCAGTTCTCTGCTACCACCCCTGAGTCTCCGGAAGACTGAAAAATTATAGTAAGTGCCTCTAAAATGTCTACTCTTGCTTCTCTCGGTATCTTTGCCATTTCTCATCTGGTTCTGGTATCTTTTAAACTTTAAATTCCAAAAAACTAATATTTCTCCTTTTCTCAATTTAAATCACTACTAATGTTTGAATTGCCTCCTGTTTCACTGTAACATTCATTGCATTCTGTACCTTGATAAAGCTGGATGTAATGTTTTCATTTTAATTCATGCATAAATCTCATTTTTCATTCCAAATTGGCGTCACTCCTCACTTTAACCACTGTTTTATGTTTTATATGGCTAGAGAAGATTTAGGGATTCTCTTTTATGTTAGCTGCTAATCTCTTCATACTGTATCTTTTATATTACTTAGTTGCATTTTTGTCTCCTCTCCACAGTTTGTATATTCAGCCTGATTCCTGGTTGTTTGGCCAGCTGACTTCTGTCTTTTGTTTGACCTACCTTTTATTTTTTGAATGAATTGGCAAAAGAGTTCAACTGTTTTATTTAGATATTTAAAAAATGATATTTTACTCTTCCAGATTATTATGGTACCCTGATAATAACCACTCGCTGTCTAAAGTAGATGCTGAGGCTGACGGATTCATGAATATCGCGCTCTGGTTCGTGAAACACCTCTAATGCTGATTATTTTCGGAGGCAGTCATTGTGTCATGGTGCAAAATCAATTACTGGAAATGTCATTAAGATTGTGATACATGGCAGCAATCAACCATCAGTGAGATCCAAATCCCAGGTGGTTACATCAAGCACTGCAGGAACATGTTTTTTACATTTCACTGCAGCTCTTTTTGGCCACAGTATTTTGATTTTATAAGTTCAGGCTAGCCAGAATTTCAGCAATGAATCAGCATCACCTTTGTTGAGAGGAAGGATTTTCCAGTGGGTCATTCAGTTCAGCTATGCCAGTCTTCAGAATACTTTACTAATAATAAATAATTTATTTCCTGGTTATTTTGTAGAATTAATTTATGATGCTACATTGCAATTTAAATTTTGCCATATAATTTTGGATAACTATTCAATTTGTCATTTTAGTGATAGTAACTCAACTCTGTGAAGAACTTTAACAGTGAAAAGAAGGATCCAAATTCTTTTTTTTTCAGGAGATCAATACAATTGTTAAAAAATAAAGAAACATAAGTATCTGGCAATTCTGTCTTAGGGTTCTAATTCTATCCATGTTCATCCTGTGCTCTTACAAGTTGTGGATTCAAATCCTGAGATCTTGTTTACTTATTGTGTCCTGTTTATGTCAGGCTACAAATAGCATTCTGATGAAACCATTCAGACATCACTATTTCTTCAAAACTTTGCTACTTCATTGCTTGCTGTTTAGCAGTAAAAACATAATGTGCCTGAGGTATGCAGCACCTTCAAAACTGAACTAGAGAGAAAATTTGATCTATCTGTACATGTATACATTGGTGCATGAAAAATGATTTTTTGATTTGCATTGTAAACCAAAATCTGCTTAAAAGTTTCTATAACCGTATGAATGATAGTCTTCATTATGACGACAATAGTTTAATCTCTAGATTCTGATACCACTTAAACTCTGCTTTTAGTTCTTAAATTATCACTTCAGCTTCCAAATTGAAATATCGCCACATAATTCAGCCCAGCAATCCATCATTCTCTAACTGTTCCGTGAATGATGTGACTGACCACTGACCTGAGTACTACTCTTGTCAGGTGAAGTATTAATCAGATTCATAAGCCTTAACTGGACAGAAGCATAACCTGTTTATGACTCTCAAAGCTTCTGTGCCCAAACAATATGCAGATTTTCATATGGTGCAGAAGTGTGCCTTGGTAACTTTTACAAATGTTAAAATCAGGATTACATAGATATATCTTGTAAATGCTGTCAATAAATCTTAAGTTTTTACACACTGTCCATTACTGACTGTTCATTTCTGTGTCATAAAGTTGACTATGATACAAAGAATTATCCTGATGTTATTGGAATTAACCATTGAAATGACTAAATGACACACATTCCAAGGTTTTAATCATTACATGTTTGGGGAAGGAGAATCTATGCAAATAACGGAACATTAATATGAAGCAAAAGCCATAGCAATGTAAGTGAAAAGGGGTCTTTCTTTTTCTGCACTTTTAGTGACAGCTGCTAGAATCTTTGCTTGCACTTGAACATAGTCTAGTTTTAGGAAAGAGATAGCAGGACCTGCAGATGCTGGAGAATCTGAGATAACAAGGTGTAGAGCTGGATGAACACAGCAGGCCAAGCAGCATCAGAGGAGCAGGAAGGCTGACGTTTCGGGCCTAGACCCTTCTTCTAC